TAATATGTTTTGGGAAAAAGCTGGTGAAGTCCAAATGATTTCTAATATCTAAGATTAATGGAAAATTCAAATGTTCTCTAGACAAAGGTTGACTTTGCTTGTACTTTGTTATTAAAGTACCCTTCAGAAAGCTGACTCTGCTCCCAGTGATAGTGTATCTATGTATCTCTTTATTATTCATTGTAAGGTACATGTTTTGATGTATTAAAGCAGTGTTAAATTGAATTTTATAAAGGGTAACTAAATATATATGGACTGTTTGCTATAAAGTGATTTGTGTTTGAGTATAATTCAGTGTTGTAATGAGGTTGCAAGTAATAGTTTTGTGGAACTATTAGTATCTGTAATGGAAGAGTCTTGTGTTTATTATATATGGTTACTATTTACTAGATTAACATGAATTACACTTCTTAGGGTCACTTTGGAAGACTGCTAATTTAATTTTATTACAATATTGATTTGATATTAAAATATATATTTTTGTTTTTTAAAGAGGAAGGAAATACTTTAGTATATTATTGATTTTCTTAGGGGAATGGTTGAGTGTAGAGTGCATTATTTGTTAGGCAACCCAGAAGTTGTTGCAGTTCATTTACATCATTCTGGGAGAAGACAAGTATCCATCGTTCTTTTGCTACTTCACTTGGGCCACTTCTCTAGACCTGGCCATCTAAGTTTGTTTTCAGTGCTCTGATTTACTTTATCCACCCACCCCCGATATGTTTTGCCTTATACTTTATTCCCTAGTTCATTGAATCAGTAATCTTATCAGCTCATTCACACTAAGGTGTGAATGACTAATATTAGCTAAATATTAATTTATCCAGGGATATCTGAATTCCATAAGAAAGGACTAGACCTTAACCTAAAGTGGTGACTTTCAATGAAGGAATTATAGGCACTAAGGTAGACTGGAGGGGAAGATATTTTGAAGAAAGTATATCTGGGAGCAGTACCTTCAGACTACATCTAGTAAATGGTGACCTAAGGAATATACCCACAAGCGTGCATATTAGTTTCTCATTTCTCTGCCTGTTTTCTTTTTCCTCTTCTAATTCCAGACCCTATTTCCAGGAAAATCATTAGTAGCTTCTTCTCTGAGCTTATCCTTTCCTTGAGGAATCTTCTTTCCAGACGTCCCTCTTATCACTTTCTCAGTTTCATGAGATTGGGGTGCAAAGAGTAAATATCCTCAATTACTGTAATATGTAACTTAAAATAATATTTCTCATAAAGTTGTTTGAAATTTGATCCCAAAATTCAAAGTTATTCCAACAAGAGAGATCTTGAATATAAAGTTATTTCCATGTTGTTAAAACTGTTATGATTGTTATTGTTGGTGTATTCAAATGGTTTAATTTTTTCATTGTCAATCAGTTAAGCAGTTAATTCTAAGAGCAATTCCATAAAGAGGAACTGTCCTAATAACAACTAGGTCTATGCTACCTTGGTCTGAAGGAGTGCATCAATGGAATTCTTGTGCAACTTAGTTTTCATGTCACTTTTTTACTTTTACTTCCATAAGATACTGTGAAAATACTGCACTTGGAATTTATTTATGGCTATAATTTATAACATGCTTTTTAATAATAAAAATTGTCTTTGTAATTACATAGAACATTTCTGCCTCCAGAAGTCAATGTGTATCTAGACATGCCCTTCAGTGAACTGATAGGCTTGAAACTCTTTTTTTCAGTATTCTCATACACATGGTTGGAAATCCCCTGAGGCTCTACTCATCTTTTTTCTCTCTCGCGAGGTATATTCTATTCTCAGAGGGAAAAATGAATCTCCCTATTGACTCTTTTTCTTTTTTTTTAAGATATGACCATTGTTATTAGGTACTATCAAGTTGATTTTAACTCATAGTAACCCCTTGTCACAGAATAGAACTGCCCATAGTGTTTCTTTTTCAAAGAAACAAAAAATTTAGAGAACAAATCAGTCTTCCATTCAACAATTCACAGACATTTTGTTTTATGGCATTGATTGCAATCCCTTCAAAGTAACATCATTCTTCCCACTTCCTCCCTGTGTTTTTGTTTCCATTCCTCCTTCTCTCCTAAAACTTCCTGCCTTCTTAACTTTGTCATGGGCAAATGCTGCCCTTTTCATCCCAAATGGCTGATTTTTCTAAGGAGTGTGTACCTTCCTAAAGGTGTTCATCTTGTAGACCTGTCTATTGGTTGTTTTACAGAAAATTGAGCTATGGAATTGAGTTCAGTTCCAGGTCTGAAGAGTGACCAAGGGCCATAGTATTTGGAGTCACTAGTCCCTATCTGACCAGTCAGCCTGAACTTTTATGATTTAGAGTTTTGTTACACATTTTTTTCCTCCTTCTTCTAACTTGATCCATTTCAGAGCAGTCAGTAGTAGTAGCCAGGCACCTTCAAGTTCTTCTGGTCTCAGGGTTATGGTCCATTAGTCCTTTGAACCAATTGCCTGCATGTGTCTTTGATTTTCTTCATTCTTCTTTGCTCTGGACAGATAGAGACCAATAGTTGCAACTTAGATGGTTTCCTGCAAGCTTTTAAGGCACGTGTTGCTATTCAACAAAGTAGGGTGTAGTACATTGTCTTTGTGCAGTATGTTGTGCCAACTAACTTTGACATCCACTGAGATGATCCAGAACACCAGGTCCAGCAACTCACTCCCTCAGGATTTCTTAATACGGATAAGAAGTTTTCACCACCACTCATCTGGCTTGCATGTTGCTGTAAAGGTGGAGGCTATACCACCAGTAATTCAAATACCAGTAGGGTCACCCATGGTGGACAGATTTCAGCAGAGCTTCCTGACTAATGCAGACTCAGAGGAAGGAAGGAGCCATCCAGTTCTAGAAGAATTGGCCAGTGAAAACTTTGTTGTTGTTATGTGCCGTCAAGTCAGACCCGACTCATAGCGACCCCTCCTTGGGTTGTTGAGGCAGTATCAATACGGAAGTAGATTGCCCAACCTTCCTTCTGAAAACCTTATGAATAACATTGAAACACTGTCTCATATATTACTGGAAAACATTATGAATAGCCCTGAAACATTGTCTGATATAGTGTACTCAAAATATGACTGGGGAGAGCTGCCTCCTCAAAGTAGAGTCAACCTTAATGATATACATGGACAGAGTAATGCCTTCAGGACCTCCGTTTGCTGATGAGGCACAACTCAAAACTTCCAAACTGGAAGAAACAGCTAGAAACATCCACTAATAATTGGAACTTGGAATGTATGAAATATGAATGTAGGAGAATTGGAAGTTGTCAAAAATGAAATGGAATGCATAAAGATCGATATCCTAAGCATTAGTGAGCTGATATGGATGGACTGGTATTGGCCATTTTGAATAAGATATTCATATAGTCTACTATGCTGGGAACAACAAATGGAAGAGGAATGGCATCACGTTCATTGTCAAAAAGAACATTCCACATTCTTTCTGAAGTACAATGCTGTCAGTGATAGGATA